TGATTCTATGATTCTATGTGCATGCCAGCCTCCACACCGTACCACTGCACTCCATGCACATACTCACACTTCAACTTGGCCGAGCTGTTGGCGATGGCAGCCGACCTGGCGAAGAGCTTGACGGGGAGCGTTGCCTTCACGCGCCGGACAAGGGGGATGGTGACCCGTGGCCGCTTCACAGGAACCACTCTGGGCACTGGGGAGACTCGGCCCCGGTACTCGAAGAGCCTGGAGTGGGGGGAATGGTGGGGGGTCGGAAGCAGCCCTGCAGCACCCCAGCCCTGCCATGCTGGCGATCAGGTGCCACACCAGAACGCAAGCATTGTCGGTGGTGAGCCGGGGCACAGCCTGGCCACTGGACCCCATCCCACTGGGCTGGGCTGGACCGCCCTGCACCCCACTTCCCTCCCCACAGCAGGAACAGCGCTACAAGGAAGATCTTGCCCCACAGAAAGCCCTTTTGGCTGATGCCTTCCCTGCTCACCTGTCATAGAAGTCATCTCTGTAATAGTCATAGTCGAAGTCGTAGCCACTGCAGAGACAGAGTCAGGACGGCACAGGTTAATTAGTGCTGGCAATTCATTATTATTCCCTCAGTGCCTGTTGAGCCTGTCCTTTATTTATTTCCCCTCCATAGGGGTGTGCACACTTGTCCTGACGGCTGTGAGGGTCTGCAGAGAGGTGGGCTGAGCCCGGGAGAAAGATTTGTGGGGGCTGAAAGCACTGGAGAGGGTGATGTTGGCAGCAGAGTTTTAACCTGGTTACCTCAAGGAGAAGCAAGAAGATGTGTGGGTGGATTAAAACCTACAAGCTGGGACTGGGAACAAATGTCCACAAACACCCCATGGGGATGTCTGCATGGGAAGCGCTGGCTGAGAAGCTGAAAGTACAGCTAATGGGTTGTGTCTGTAAAGCACCGGTTGAACTGGTCTCATGGCACTGCCGATATCCCTCCATTCAGCCTTTATTACAGCAGGACCGTCCCCATTCCAGGAGGGCACTGTCCTGCCGCCACCCTGGAATGTTTTTTTTTTCCATACCATATGTAGTTGTTGGGGGAGAAGTAAGGAAGAAGGGGATATTTATTAATTAATATCTTTGTTATCAAAGATGTTTAAACTTCTCAACTCACAGGAAGACCCTGCCTAAGACCTTTTTTCTTATATTTGAACTGCATTTTAACCCAAACTTGGAGCAATGCATTTCTCACTCCCTGGAGAACCAGTAACACACTTTCCCTCTTGCTGCAGCTGGTTTTTCACAAGGCCACACAAACCAGGATTAAAGAAAAAAAAAAACCAAAACCTGTGAAGAAAGAGAGTGATGGGGAAGGGGAGAGGGAAGAACCTGAGAATAAATATGGTGTCCTGCATCTCAGGCAAGAATTGACAAGAAGAAAGTGTGGCTGGCCAGGATGGCCAGTAGGAAGTGGTTTGGACCAGAAATTCCAGGCTTGACCCAGGATGCCTGTCCTGCCTATGCTGGCAGAAGGATTCCCACCCAGTATTTTAGTTTCAGTAACAATTCTTAAATGCTTTTATTCTATGCTCCTTGGATGCTCCTTGTGTTCCCCAGAAGCCTGTGGCAGCATGTGGAGACAGCTCATGCCTTGGGGGACACAAAGCACACTACGGATGGTTGGAGACACCATGGCTCCTGTGGGGCAAAAGACAGGGGTGCAGGGGGTCAAGGATCACAAGGCAGCATTTGCACCTATGTCCACAAGACACCTATTTGCACCCCCAAAAACCTATTTTGGGGTTTGCTGCCACCATCACGCGCTGCCACAGTGACTTCAGGCGAGGAGGTATTTTATAAAGCTGGACCTTATCTCTGAGCAGCCTCTGACCACGGCATCCACAGCTGGCCTGGATGTGGGACGCAGGATCTGAGCAAGCAGCACTGGTGGACAGGGAGAGATGTGACTATGGAGGTGTTATCACCATAAGCCTTCCAAATCCAACTGCATGATGAAAAATACCCATTTTTCTGACAGCCTCAGCACAGATGAATTTCAACATCTTTTCAGCCTTGGCATCCTCCTCTTCTGACCTGACTTGCAGATGATGTGTCTGCTGGGCTCACAGGAGGAATTAAGATCCCAGCAGCCTCTGTCCCAACCACTGCATGGTCTGTATTTATTCCTTTGTGTGCTTTTCTGAACTGAAAGGGAAAGTTAATTCCTATTGCATCAGTTCTTACTGGAATATAAAACCAGCCTGTTTGTATGGCTGAGGAGATGGGCAGTATGGAGCAAAGAAATGTATTTTCATGGAGATTTTCATGACTGGTAGCTTGATTTTCATTCTAACCTGGGATGAAACTTGGAAATACAGAAAATCTCCAACAAAATAGCTCTCCCCAGCCCGCCAATCTATTCTGATCAACAAGGATGTTTGACTCCAGTTCTGTTTGAATCCAGTAAACACAGAATGCAAACAAAATAGGAAGTAATTTGAAAGGAAAATTGAACTAGGATGCTTCTATGCTGTCAGACTCCTCGTTTTCTTTTTTTTTTTTCCCCCTTAGATGCAATTTACATGAAATTGCTGCAATTTCGTAATACTTGTCAAGCCTGACAGGCTGCGGTGATCTGCTTCTGGCTAGCTCCAGCAGTGCCCTGGAGCCAACAGCCTCTGTAGCCACAGGCAAGAGAAGACAGGGACGTCTCTACGGCTCATGGACCCTAGGTGGGATGATGCAGTGTCTTCATTCATGGCAAAAAAACCCTCCATGGACTGTTGCTCTTGCTGGGAAGCTTGCTGTGGCTTGGAGACCATGAGACAGCTTTAGAACATTTGCTCATAAAACCCACAAAGCTGGGGGGCATTTGGCAAAATTTTGAAATGCCTGAATTCATTTCTTCGTGCCCTGTTCAAACTCCTGGCCTGAGCCAGCTTTTCTTCCAAGCCTTCGCTCCTGCTGGAAGCCCTGTTGATAGAGCTGTGGACACCATGGACTCAGCACATGGCTGGTTCCCGGGGCAGATGGGGATGGAGAGGAGCTGCAGCTCCAACCCCATCTCCTGGGCACTGCCTTGCTGCTGTCAGCACTGTCCCGAGCAAAGCCTCGTGTCTAGGAACAAGGAAATGAAGCCCTGAACAGGGTGGGCACCTTTCATCTCCATCACTGACACTGCCCTGTGGCATTTGGGCACCTCCATCTCACTCCTGGGCTTGGCTCCAGCATCAACAGTCTGATGCCAGGCCTCAAGTAACTGTTCATCCAACCTGGTATGGGCTGGAGAAGGATGAAGAAGCCTTCACCCTCAGGTGAAGTCCTAAGCCTTTTTCAAGACTGGCCAAAACAGCAGTTTGGTACATAAAGTAATAAACACTGTAAATGCTATTATGCTATTTGCAGTAGGGAATGTGTCAGCAAAGTCGGGCAGCCTTGTGTTTTTCTGGTGGAAGTCACTACTGGCCCAGTTTCACAGCTTGTGTACAGAGGCAGTGGAGTTGGCTTACAACATCCCTGATCTGCAGGGCAGTGGGTCCAAGAGCATCTACTAATATTTATGGGTGAAAAGCAAGAGGTGGGTGGTGGGGGTGCTCCTGCCCTGGCCCTGAATCCTCAGGGGATTTGAGACACTTCCACCCATATCAAAAAAAGAATTAGGGGCAAAATTATCCTGGGGAGCTGGTCCTGACTTCCCAAAAACAGTGGGATTCATCTCACTTGGCTTCAGACACTGTGAATGTAAAGAGAGAGATCCAAGCAGGAGGGGGAAAGAGGCAGTTCCAGGTACATCACATCCAAAGGCAGACAACTAAAATACAGTCTGGTGAAGAACTGTATTTTCTCCAGCAAGCATAAAGGGATTCCAGAAAACCAGACCACATAAAAACCTTGACAGCACAGAGGGCTGAGCTCACATGAGGTGACTCCTCCCTTACACTCAGTGCAGTGCAGGACAACAAATACTCCGATCTCAGCTTCTGGCAGTACTGCTTTCAACAACTGCTAACCACGAGACAGCCCTCAACGAGGGCAGCGGGCTGAAATATGGCATTTTCAGAAGCCTGTGACTGTATGGCCCTGTTATAACATGGCACTCAGGTCACGGCTTTGCAGATGATGCATGGGAGGCAGTGGCTGGGTGCTTCTACCAGCATCCTGGGAAATCAGGTGTTGAGCAAAAGGCAGGTCTTCCAACATGGATGCAGAAGAAAAGCTAGTAAAAGCGAGTCCCTTGGTGTGGGTGGTTCATCTGGGTATTGTGTGCCCAAACATTTCACTGCACGTAGGATAAACCTTCCTGAGACTGATGGATCATTTTCCAGTGACCTGGCAGGGCTTCCTTTGAGTACAGGAATAATTTTTGCCATTTTTCAATCAGTTGGTGACACTGCACCCTTTGAAAATAAAGCAGGGACAATCGGAGTGAGAGGCAGCAGAAGGCTGTAAGGCTGTGTCAGGTAACATGGTGCTTCCACCTCCTGATGCATTTATCCTGCTTTGTTTTTCTTTAGTAATTAAATAACATTTATTAATGACTCACAAAGGTCCAAAAGCCAAATATTCATAATTGAAGGGCAATTGTTTGTATGAGCTGCCTTTACATTACATTTGTGGTGCCATTTCTGTGCATGTATCTGAATAGCAATTGTATATTTGAGTGGCTGTGTTTTAATTACTGGCTGACAGCCCCGCACTGATAATCACAGTGACACGTGCTCAGCTCACATCCTTCTACTAATGGTTGCACCTTAATTATTGCAGCAGTAGACATAATACCTGCCGGAAAGCTACTTGGAAAATTTGGTATTGATCAAATTGTGAGCTTTAGGACCTCATGTAGCTGGTGTAAGATTCCTTTCTCCTGCAAATAGCCGAGGTAGCAGGAAGCCAGGAGAGAAATGCAGGAAGGGAGCCCAGCCTTTCCAAGATGCTGGGACTGCAGTGGTGCTGCTGTAGGCTTGGACAGCATGCACAACCTTACTGCTGGTGTCAGGTCTGCTGGGTTTGGCCACCATTGCTCGTCTCCTCCTCTGCCCTCTGGGTGTTTCTCAGCCCTGTCCGTGCAGATTTGGCACCAGGGCTTGCCAGGGTATCATTGCTCCCAGCACTGCTGCAAAGATGTGGGAGCAGTGGGTCTATTTGGACATGGGTTGATGCCAGGTTTCTGCACAGATTGTAATGGGTGTAACGAGGCATGCGAATGCTGGCTGAGCTGGAAGGACATTGTCCACTTGCATCTGTAGACTGTGAAAATAAATCAGTGGTGGTTTGTGTCTGTCACCATTTCAGAGACAGCTCCTTGGGCCACTGAGCTGCCAGACACTCGGTAGCTCTTGCAGCTCTTCCTTAGGTTGTCCTTACTGTCCTTTTGGCTACAGAGCAACATTAGCACCAGCATTACAGGGAAGGGCAGAGATCTGTGCCTCCCAAGGCCAAGCGCAGCAATGGCAGGCCCCGCTGCTCTAGGGCAGAGCCACCTTCCCTTCCCAGCCCATGGCAACAACCAGCCAACTCACAGAATAGCAGGATCACTGTCACCAACCTGAACATGGCCCCAGATGCCCCAAGAAATCCTCTCCAGACATTTGCTATGCAGGCAAAAAAAATATAGCCATAAGGCAAAAGGGTTTGAGACACCGCATGTGAATACCCATGTGAATACCCAGAGAACTTGGTGAAAATACAAGTTCATCTTCCAGCCACCCTCACTAACTAATCTGCAGTATCTCCAGGCACTTTTGGCAGCAGCGGCCTGGGTGCCAGGCAGAAACACCCAGGGGACTTTCCACATGCAAAGGGATGCTCTGGCAAATGCCAGAGGCAGAGGGAGGATGCTCACAAGATGTGGAGATTTCGGGCTATGACAGCAAGGTTTGATATTAACTGAAGATCCCTCTTCTGGAGAGACCTGAGAAAATTCATGATGGCATGAACCTGGGTGTGTATTTTACCTATTAGGGGTGGTTTTCAGACTACATCCCAAAGGATTTCTGTTAAGCACCCAGATACCCACCTCAGCTGGTGGATCAAGTAAGACTGTCAAGATTGTTGCTTCCTCTATGCCCAAAATGAGCTTCCCCTTTCCCCTTCCCTTCTCCTTCCCTTCTCCTTCCCTTCTCCTTCCCTTCTCCTTCCCTTCTCCTTCCCTTCTCCTTCCCTTCCCTTCCCTTCCCCCTCTCATCGAGACTTGGAGCGAGACAAAGTAAAACCCAACCTTTGCAGAAAATTATCTTACATGTTTAACACAGCATTTCTATAAATTATAGTGCTGTGATTTTTGAAGTCTAACATTTAGAAAAAAATTATGACGGTTAGGGAAGCTATAACCATGGCTCACTTGCATTCCCTGCTTTTCGTGAGATATCGTAAGTTCTGCTAGTCCAGATGGTAAAGTTTAAATCTGTCACCAATCTGGGATGAAATATTGCTGAAGCTCAGAGCAGTGTAGTTCTCTGGCCCATATGTTAGTATATCCATCTTTGCTCTCTCTTCGTCTACATGGCAGCCTGGAAGTCTGAAATACTGGTCATTTCTACAGAAATGGATTAGTGGTCAAGGCACGGACGAAGAGTAAATGGAATGCTCCTTATTGCATGAACTGATTGCATTACAGCGACCAGCACCACGTAAAGGCAGCTAAATAGAACAATCTGTGTCATCTCTATTTCCATACATCAATGTGGGTAATGCACAGAGAGCCCACCTTCCCTGGACTGGTGTCCCCTGTGAATCCAGAGGGTCAACGGCCAAGCTGGCCTAAGGTGAGAGGAAAAATTTGCCTGGTGAAAGCTGCAAGGGAAAGGCTCAGCTGAGACACTCGGGGAAGGTCTCAACAGATGCCTTGGGGGTGGTGGGAGGGTTGCTGAAGCTCTGGTGGGTTTGCCTATGCGAGAAGAGCATTGCCACCACTGCCGTTTGCCATTTCGTAGCACACTGATGTTGGACTGCATGGCTGAGTCTGAATCTCAGGTTTTCTCATTTCAATTCATTCCTCTAACTTTTTTTTCTTTTCGCAGAATAATCTACAGTTCTCTCATTATTTCCTTTTTTATTACACCCACATAGAACCCTGATACTGATTTCAGTATTTTCTTCTCAACATCACACCTTCCAGATCCTGACTCAGTGCCCCAGTCTCCATACCATGAGACTGGCATAAAAATAATGAGAATTTATAAATAAAACACATTTGGGGATCTTACTATTTGCTCTTGGGTTCTGGACCCTGCAGGCTACTCTCCAATACCTTTTCAAGTTTTCCCTTCTGAAACCTCAGAAGCAAGAACTTAATGAGTTTCTCCTATATTCCCATGACTCCAGACTCTGTGTCTTAAAGGAAAACCTTCACTTGTGAAAATCTTGATAAAGTCTCTAGAGCTGGCAAGTGGAACTGAAGGCTCACTCTGACATCTGTAACACCCTACATCTCCCACAGACCTACTCCATGTCCCACTTGTCCCTCCCATTCCCACTACTCTACAGCACAGATTCCCTTGGGGCTTCCCTGTGCCACCTCTTGGTCCACCTCCTTTTGTTGCCCCAAGGGCTTACCACTTTCTTCCTTTCTTCTCTCCCTTTCCCTGTCATTTCT